TCTTCTTCTTCTTCTTCTTCTTCTTTTTCTTCCTTATCTTTTTCGGATAGTAGCACACTGGATAATTCCAGAGTTTTAGGCTGAGATGAGACTTGGCTCTACCTGTGATCGAGTGCATGCATCCTTTTTCACCATTTTTTCTGCCCCGAATCGTCACTTTTTGTCGTGAATTTTTTATCAGACATTTTGGAGCTTGGACAAAAAAGAGAGATTTAGCTTCTGGAGATGAGGTACAAAATACACACCAGGACTTCCGCGCAGCCTAATTAAATTTGCCACACACGCACAGGTACACACACACACACCTCCCATCGGTAATCCGATTACCTTTTGGGGGGAATGGCGTTCAGCAAAGCACAGAGAAGCAGGCACGTGAAATGATTTGCAGGCCTGACGCCCCTGCTGACTCATACAGGAGCCTTCTGATTAAACCGCAGCGAGTGTGCCAACCCGCACACACACACAAACACATGCATGCAAGCAAGCAGAATCGCACGCAAGTAAAGGCGCACTTTGAACATCATACACTCCTTTCGTCTCTCCAGGCCTGTATAAATATGCATTTGTCGTGCGGTGCACGGTGATTGACATTATCGTGAGCCCTCAGCAATTTCATGTCCCTGGTTTTATGACTGCTAACCACGGTTCGTCTACGGGTCGGGATTATGGCAAAAGACTCATTGACTTACTCTAGGGTCACCGACATGACTACTGTCTAAGCAGACTAAGCATTGTTGGCAAAGACAGGGGGAGACTGGAATGGTCATTTCTGGTCCACTAGTCGTCATCAGCCAGTCATATCCAACCCTATATTTGCCTACACAATTAGCTGCTGGCGGGGCTCCAGAATGAATCCCAGTGCAAAGCCGAACGAGTGAGTTCCGTTAGTGGTCGGTGAACTTTCATCAACGACTACTGAATAACTAATAATCGAGGGTGAAGTGTTGGACAGAAGAGACCTGGTAGACTGTAAAGATTGCTTTTAGCATAGTTTACTTTCACAAGCGGCATACTCTGAAGTTTTGTTCTCCTTCAACTCAGTCAGATTACTGAATGCCCCGGCCATCACGGTCACGTCGCTGAAAATTTCGCAACAGAGTAGGCTGTCGCTGACCTAATCCCTGTGCCCTGAGCAAATAACTGGGAAATGTAAGTTTTCTTCTTCAGCAGCATGTCAACAGTACTTACCAGCCCTCTTCGTACTAGCGGGTGTGAGTACTCTAGCTTGGAACCAGGAGGTAAAACGCGGCATCCGTACTTTGATTTTGTCATCAAATAAGTTTTATGAATAAAAATTCCGCTTGACTTTGAGTAGTCACAGTTGTCTAAGCTTGATCTTGGTCCCCCAATAGAACTGTGGCTCTGTGGAAAGAGTACGCCTAGGGTTCATGAATTATTCAAACTACACATGACACGCGTTGGGTAGTTTATACACAGGCACATGTCCAGTTTGCGCATAGACAGGCACAAACTGTCTGTAAGACGGGCTGATGCATTGTCACAAGTGGCTGTCCACACCTAAGAGACGGGTCACGAGTTTAACTTCGCAGCTGAGGAGATAATAATCCATGCCAAGAGCAAGACAGGTCAAGAATGGATTGAAGCCTGGGCCACTGATGAGAACTCAGTCAGCCGATTTATCGACCTGCCACCGGCATACAGAGTCCTGTGCAGCCACCTCCGAACTGACGTCACTTGTGATTGATTGGCCCCGCCCCCTATGCCTGTTACTTGTTTTTCGTTGCCGCTTTTATATCTGACGATGGACTTTAGTAAGAGTTCGAAAGCTCAGACAAACAAAACCATAATTCCGATCAACGTGCCCCCTTCTTTACCTATTCACACACCTGAAATGCGAATATTCGCCTCAATTCGCTATACACAGAATCAATAAACGCGAGGCTTGTAGCAGAGGATTGCAAACTATAAAAAGGATGCATCATTTAGGGGATGATTTTCCAATGCACTTCATATAGCGGGCTCAACAACGATAAATTGGAAGACTACGTTCGATAACTTTTTTTACACTGATCAGTTTTGTAATCTCTTATAGCTTCTCTTTTTACCCTGTTTCAAGTCTGTCAACGTGTACTCAACTACTTTTGCGATCTGTAATTTAATGATAATCTTGAGCGGCCATCATTTGATTCCATGTTCCGAGTTCAGTGCATGCCGACGTTCAGGAACTAATAGCTGATGGAAAGTAGTTGCTGGGCAGCCAGTACTGCGACATGTTTTCATTCTCCTGACATTTTCTAACTTCCTGAGATCC